ACTGCCTGGGCTAAATGTCACTCAATTGGGTAGATTCAATAAGAATTGATCATTGTTTGGTTAAGAAAATTTATTCAATATTCAGGGACTAAAATACTCTCTCCAGTTCTTTACATGTGATGTGGATATTACTAGTCACCTCTGTACTTCTGCTAGCCATTCATCTGTGAGTACCAGTTATCAAATGGTACCTACAATCTGAATATCTGCTTTTAACAGCAATCTGAATGTTTCAGATTCCAGTATTTGATCTATTTCTACGAACAATAACACATCATTTCAAAATTTATCTTTAAGGTATATCATTCCAATACAAAATCAGTCACTGCATAGGAGGCTATCTGTAGAAGCAAAAACAAAAATAGCATTAAAAAATGAGCCGTACCATCTCCCTAATTAAAAAATAAAAATATACAAAAAATTATTGCAACAACTTAAATTTAATTACAATTTACAATTAGAGTTCAGATATCAACAAATATATATTTAGACGCTCAAAAGGTATGAAAGTTTAGATCATTATTTGTTTTAATTTCAAAATAAAGTATGATCATTTTTGGTTTATGTTGACACGTTTGCATTTATACCATACACGTTTGCATTTGTAACATACACAGCGAGCTAGCGACTAGCTAGCTTTATAGCAATTTTTAAGCGATTTTTTTTTTCTTATTTTATTTTTTCCTAATGTCTTTAACATCTTTAAAAATTCGATTTTTAGTGTTGAGTCTATTTTAATTATGAGAATAAGTGAACTTTAAACATTGCGATTTTGTAGCAATATGTTACAAGCTACATATCGTATTTTTGTAGCTAGCTACAAAATATCTACAAATCAATAGCTGGTTGATAGCCACATATCAAAAGTTTTTAGACAGCGGTTTTATTACAATACACTGTAAAAAAGCAACTTTACTAGACAATATCATTACAACAGACATCTTTAATAATGATATAAAAAAAGGAATCTTAAAAACAGATATCTCGGATCACTTTCCTATTTTTCTGACTATACCCACTAACCAAGCAAATGTAAAAAACCTAACAAAATCTTAACTAAACGTATTTTTAATCAATCAAAAATTGAATTGTTTAAAAACCAACTATCGCTACTGCATTGGAAACATTTAAACTTTAATGATAACGCTAATAATCTTTTTGAAAATTTCTTTAAAACATTTTTTTCGGTTTACGATGCTAACTTTCCTAATGTTACTCATACATCAAAAACTAAAAACATAAATAATCCTTGGGTTACCCAAAGGTTTCAAAAAATCATCAAAAACTAAGCAAAAGTTATATATAAAATACCTAAAAACAAAAACTCCTACAAGCGAAAAAAAATACAAAGATTATAAAAATTTATTTGAAAAAATCCGGAAAAGTTTAAAAAAAAACTACTATTCAAATTTGATTAATGAAACAAAAAATAACCTAAAAAGCACTTGGCAAATACTATAAGAAATAATTGGGAAACAAAAAACATGCTCAAGTTTTTTACCACACATGCTTAAAATTGATAACAAAATTTTATACAATCCACAAATTATAGCTAATGAGTTTAATAAATATTTTGTTGAAATTGGTCCAACCCTATCAGATAAAATTCCAATTACCAAAACTTCTTTTCATGATTTTTTAGCACCTCTTGATAAAGGCATTTGCTCAGATGAACTATCGTCCGAATTATCCTTTGAAGAGTTTGAAAAAGCTTTTAAAACCTTAAAAAAAATAAAGCAACTGGGCCTGATGAAATAAACGGAAATATAGTTATAGATTGCTATGAACAATTTAAAAATATTCTTTTTAAAATCTACAAAGCATCCATCCAACAAGGAATTTTCCCTGAGCGCTTAAAAATTGCTAAAATTATTCCACAAAGAAGGCGACAGATCCAATATCAATAATTACCGCCCCATCTCTATCCTATCTGTATTCTCCAAAATCCTAGAAAGAATTATGTTTAACAGAGTTAATAATTATTTTAATTACAATAACCTACTATACAATAATAAATTCGGCTTCAAAAATAATAGTTCAACTGAGCATGCCATTATTCAATTTGTACGCAACATCTCCAAATCCTTTGAAAAAGCTCAATATACATTAGGTATTTTTATAGATCTATCAAAAGCATTTGATACGGTTGACCATAATATTTTAATACAAAAAATGAAATATTACGGTTTAAACAATAATACTTTAGCGTGGTTTAAAAGCTATTTAACAAATCGTAAGCAAGAAGTCTTTAGTAATAATGACGTTCAAAGTAGATCTTTAAATATAACCTGTGGTGTTCCACAAGGTTCTATTCTTGGACCGCTGCTATTTCTTATATATGTCAATGATCTAAACAAAGCCTCTAACCTGATGAGTATTATTTATGCTGATGACACTAATTTATTTCAATCCCACACTGATGTTTACAAACTTTTCTCAAAAACTAATAATGAACTTATAAACATTTCTAAATGGTTTAAATGTAATAAATTAACGTTAAATACTAACAAGACTAAATGGATTCTTTTTCATTCCTTCTCAAAAAAACGTTCTTTACCAGATATTATGCCTCAAATTTATATTGATGAAACTCTAATAAAAAGAGATTCTGTTATAAGATTCCTAGGTGTTTATCTTGATGAGAATATTACTTGGAAAAACCATATTAATCATGTAACCACCAAGGTATCTAAAAGTATTGGCATTTTGTATAAAGCCCGACCTAACTTAAGCAAAAAAAGCCTTACGCAGCTCTATTACTCATTCATACACAGCTATATAAACTACGCAAATATTGCATGGGGTAGTACCGAAAAAAGTAAACTACAACGTCTATATCGCCAACAGAAACATGCGATTCGCGTGATTAATTATGTGGATCGCTCTACACATTCAAAGCCTTTCTTTGATGAAATGAAAATACTTAATGTCTACAAACTTAATGTTTTCAATGTTTTATGTTTTACTTATATGTGGAAAAACAATTTATCCCTACCTGTTTTTAACGACTTTTTTACATTAAAACTTACTAATAAGTACTCACTAAGAAATAAAGATTTGCTAAATGAACCATTTTGTAGAACAAATTTTAATAAATTTTGTATTAATTATAGAGCACCTTACCTTTGGAATAAAATAGTTCTGCCTAATTTTGATCCTTTTATCCGCTTTTCTGTTTTTAAAAATGAATTTAAAAAATTCATTCTTGCAATGGATGACATTTTAAGTTACAATTAGCTTGAAGTATAAACTTGATTTATTAGATTTATAATAATATTTATAATAATAAATTTATTTTCTTTAATTTATATCAGATCTATAAAATTTATTATTATGGATTATTATAACAGATTTGTGAGAAATATTATTACAGATACGTGATTAATATTATGAATTTATTATTATATATTTATTATTACGGCCGTTTTTGGATTTATATTTTCAGTTTTTATGGTATGATAAAGTTGTAAAGGTTCTGATGATAAGATCAGTAGATCTTCTTTCAGAAACCTTGTTTTCTTTGTTCTTGTAAAATAAAGTATTTATTTTACGGCAAATGTAAACAGAAAAAAAAAAAAAAAAAAAACTTCGTAGTATTTATCGGACTTTTTCCGTTGTTTTGTTACGGAAAAAATCCGTTTTCAATAAATTACGGTCTTTTACCTATACTTTTTAGACTTTTAAAACAATCACATCTTTTTATGGGATTTTGACTGTATTTATGATACGGAATTTCCGTAACTTTAAATAACGGACTTTAACCGTATATTTTAGTTTACTATGGTATAGCCTCTACATTTACAGAGCGCCATAGTTCTTTTTAACGAAGAGAAGTTATACACGTTTTTAATTTCAAGTTAGAGATTTTAATATATTTACATTTGTTTTACTGGAACTAAAGTGCTGTATGTTTTTAAAGCAGCGCATTCTGTGGTAGTATATTCCATCCGACGAAATATTCCATCCTTTTGCGTAAAACTCAAAACGAGGATGTGTTTTTAAGTTATAGCCATTAGAATTGTTCCGAAAATAGTTAATAGTATAATGTTTTGATTTTACCCATTGGGACGGAATTGAATAATCTACGATTACATTAGATTATTAATCTTGTTTTTTAATTGTTTTTTAATAAATTGCTACATATATTAATCGTATTTCTGGTAATACTATATATGTGACCTTAAAAATAATTTATTTACTTTTATAAATAGTGTTAAGCTAAATCTGTGTTTCGTTTCATTTCGAACATTTCTAACAACTATAATTTAAATACACATCCTCGTTTTGAGTTTTGCGCAAAAGGATGGAATATTTCGTCGGATACTACCACAATTCACAAAATTTTTTTTGTAATTTAAGTGCTGATTTTTTTTAAGGATGCGGTTATAAATAGATAAAGATATTTATTAAAGATAGGTACTTCTGAAAATTAGTTTCCTATATTATATAGGGTTTATATGGTATAAATATCTTTTCCTATGTATTGAATTTTTTAAATTTCATACTATTTAGTGTTGCGTTTTTATAATATATAAAAGAAACACTAAACAATATGAATTATAGAAAATTCAGTTAACAAGAAAAGGATTTTATAGCATTGTAAATAAATAAAACATAATTTACTAATAACTAATTAGTAAATATAATTCATATTATTATAGTATGTAAAAATATATATTTATATATTTTTACATACTATAAAAATGTAACACTAAATAGTAAGACCTTTAAAAAATTCAATACTATCAATAATCTCTAAATAAAATTGTAAATAAAACTTGATTTATTAGTAATAAGTCAAGTTTTATTTACAATTTTATTTAGACATTATATTGAATTTGCAATTAACAGTGATATATTTGAGATTATTTAGTTGTTTAGTAACAAATATAAATATATATATATATATATATATATATATATATATATATATATATATATATATATATATATATATATATATATATATATATGTATATATGTATATATATATATGTGTGTGTGTGTGTTTTTGTATATTTTTAATATTGTTGTGTATTTCTATTTTTGTTTATACTGTCATGTAATTTTTTGCATCGTTTATATTGGCGTGTTTACATGTATATTGTTGTGCTTTTTTTTTTTTGCTTATTATTTTTAATTTTAATACATATGAACACCTCAATATAAACAGTGCACAAAATTAAATGACAGTATGCATATGGTGCTATTGCTAATTATTTTTATTGTTGCGTTTTACATTTGCTGCTATTGTTTAAGTGATTTCATATTTTTTTGTCTGATTATAATATTTAAATATATCTTTTTGTTTTATTTTTTATTTTCTATTACCCTTCTGATCACAAAACGTTATGTTATCTCATTTATTCATTATCTCTCAACTTAGCTCATTCACTTTTTTCTTTTTTGTTATTAGTCTGGCTTTTTTTAATAGTTATTATTATCCTTTTTGTTATAATTATTTTTTGGTCACTATCTATATTATTACTTTTTGTTGCTTGTTTGTTTTTTGCTTTACTTGTTTATTTTGTTAAGGTGTCACACCAATGAATAGTTCTTAACTATACGAGTGACATCGAACCTAATTTTGTAAATTATGAATAAATCTGTATTTTTTTTTCAATATTTTGCTTAAATAAATGGATTAATATATATATATATATATATATATATATATATATATATATATATATATATATATATATATATATATATATATATATATATATATATATATATATATATATATATATATATATATATATATATATATATATATATATATATATATAAATATAATAAAATTTATGTAAATGGTGTAAAACATTATCCATAACATGGGTTCCTATCAGGTGAACTTGATATTGAACATCAATTGCACATTTCATTTAGTGTAATACTGTCCTTTGTCTCTATGCTAACCTTCTTACTGGACTTTTTCTAACTTTCTCTCTAACATCCTTCATTTTTCTAAAAATTACTTACCTTTGGTCTGCAAACGGGTTATTATGCTATTTAATGAGCTGATCTGGGCCTAGGTATGTAGCCTCTATATAAGGTAGTTTTTTGGTGGAGGGTAAACGCATGGAAAAAAGGTATATATTAAATAAAATAGTATGTTAGATATGTAGTGCAGTCTAAAAAAAATCTTTAATAAAATTATATAAAATTGTAGTTTTTGACAAAGTTATCTGTAGAATAGAAATTTTGATGTTAATAATTGTTAAATTATTATTTGTATTTATATACATTGATTAATTTTGATTGTAACTTTTAAAATGAAATACTACTATTAAAAGTTTTTCTTAGGTTCATGCCTTGGTTTCAGTTTCAACCCAACCTTGAATTTTAAATGTACCTGCATTTGAATCTTCTATTGCTATGCTAGATGATTAGATAGCTGTTTTCAAAGTTCCCTGGAAAAGTTGCCGGCTGAAATCATGGATTTACTTCACAAGAATGCTCATCTTTTGCCACGAAAAACACAAAAGTACAATGGTAAGGGTCATTTGTGATATAATATTTTCATACTTGTTTATAAAAAATCTATAAAAATCTATAGCTTTTTCATATTACCTGCAATGTATTCTAGAACTTTATCTACTTCTGACCTATACTTCTATATCACTACATCCTGATCATCTGCAACTGCATGCTCTACATGCTCGCTTTTCATACAATTTTTCAACATTACTTTCTTTTCTTTTTTTTTTAATGTAATAATGATTTATTAATATGATCTAATTATTGGTATTTAGATGTATCGCAAAAATGAATTGTGAAAAGTTAAATTAAATTGAAAAGAAAAACTGGTAAAAAAGCAGTCGGACCTCACCCAAAAGTTTCAAGTTTTGTAAACGAACTAGCGCTTGAGTGGACAGAACATCAATAGATCAAAAGACGTTTTGTTTATAACAACATATAAATTCTATTCATTTATTTTTGACTTTAGCGTAAACTCTGATAAATAAGTTAAGTAAATGTCTATTTGCTGAATTAACGGAGTTTTTCCGTAAATTTGAATGTAAAAAATGAAATACGGAAACCGTAAATTTTACGGAGAAAGTGCTGCCTGACATTCTCCGTTATTTTGTGCTGCCGGACAATCTCCGGCGGATTTTTTAACAGTGTATGACGCTAACTACAATACCCGTAGGTCTTTAGCTTATTAAGGTAGATGTTCTCATAGCCAAGTTGCTGTCTTTATCTTTACAAATATCAATAGTTTCTCGCTAACTTAAAAAAGCTAGCTATTTTCGTGATCAAATCGTTGTCTTTATTGTTTCGATTATAGCTAGCTATTCGCTAACCAATTTTCCACCGGTTGCTGTTGGGTAAGAGCTTCACTGCGATTACCGGTTGAACTGCATACTTCCCAACATGGAATTACTACCCTCTTTTTCGCTCTCCACCATGAACGCCACTTTCTCAACATGAACACTTTAAATTTTTTAGATTCTTATTAATGGGTTTTTTAACAATGGGTAAGCCGCCCAGCCATAAATAGAACACTGTAGTATAACGCTCTTGGTCTATCTTTATCAATCGAATTTTTTTTTTAAGGAAAACAGAGAATGCTCATAAAAACGTGACATACTAAAGAGGGAATATCAAATCAAGCATGACAACCATCTATTACATGAGATGGTTGAGAGAAAGTGGGGGGGGGGGGTTAACTTTGAGTAAAATTTAAAAACATGGTTTAAATCAAGAACCGTTTGTGACTTAAATTTATATTGAAATTATTTTCAAGTCTATGTTGTTTAAGTTCTGAGTTGTTAAAGCAAAAAATGTTAGAGAAACGAATATTGTTACGTAAGTAAATTAAATTATTTTAGAGATATAACGGAGGTTTATTGGATTTGTTATAGAGGATAATCGGAGCCGAAGGTTCTAACTAAGATTTTCGATTCACAGTTTATAAACAACTTTTAATATATGTTTTTGTTTAACTTTTTGCTATCATACAAAGTTGTCTTAAAAGCTCTCAAGTTCAATAGATACGAAATATAAATAAAATACAAAGTTCATTTGTTATTATAAAAGATCAATTCACAATTGATCTTTGTAATAACTTCCAAACTGAATTATTTAGACTTGAGAAAATTAATGAAAACCAATCCAACCTTTCTTTATATAAACCTTTTTTTAATACGTCTCTTGCTATATAGTAATTTGGTTTACCGGGTACCGGCTCATTTATCTATAGAAGAATAATTAAAATAATATCTGATGTGCACAATTGTCATGACCGTGAGTTTGGCAAAATTGTCAAAACAGTCACAGACAATGCAAATAATTTTGCGAAGGCTTTTTTTCCAGAACATGGTATTTGAAGATGAACTAAAGCTGACAGGTATGGAACTGGAAAAGTGAAGAACGTGAAGCAGAAAATTTCGATGATTGTAGGCTGGGAACGAAAAGACCCTTTGACTCACCCCCCCCCCAATGTGAGAGGCAACAAACCCCTCATATTTAGGGGTTTGTTGCCCCTCATTATTGCACAGTCTCATTATTTGACATAAATATAAACATACAAATATTTGGAGTTTGCACCATGTCTGGAAGTTAGCTACCTCAATCACCAAAAAATCATGGATCCGTCACTGATCTTGAACATCAGTAAAAGTAACATTAAAAAAGCAATGCTGGCTTCAGTGTTACACCCAAGTTTTATAATTTATATAAAAATAAGTTAAAGTGTGTCAAGGCAATTTCTTTTAAAAGTGTAACTTTGATTAGTTTTAATAAAATTGTAAGCAAATTTAGCAAACAAACAAAACAAGAACAAAAGGAGACATGTTTGGAACACCAGCTGTCAACAATAATTACAGATTTCGGTTACAGCGACATAGCAGCAGTTTCATCGGTTAATAACGCTATACTCATGCGGTACCACCTTTAATGATATTTGACTATTGACACTATAATCATAAACTAGTGTACTAATAATGTAATGTTGTTACTCGAGGTCCTGTCCCCCTTGTTGGATATAAACTGTACCTTGGTGCACTATCTCAATGATAATGTTTACCATATAGTGAAGAAAATGTTCACCAAATGTAATAAAGTAATTCTTTTGTCAGCAGGCGTCTTTTTAGCATTTCAAGATCGAGAAACCCAGGTGAAACAACGGAGAAACAATAAAACAACGAAAACCCAGCTGAAACAACGGAGAAACAACAAAACAATGAAACAACGGAGAAAAAATATGTATATTTTAAACGGCTGATTAATTTTCAAATTATTGCAATTTTTGAATAATTATATTTTGAAACTTGCGAAATAACGTAAGTTTTTTAAATATGGCTATTTTAAAAGCATGCTCTACAAAACATGGATTTATATTCTTAAATTATTTAAATTTACCATTATCTTATCAGGCAAAAGTTGGACTAAATTACATAACATAATTTTATTTATTTTGTGTTATTCAACACCAACTGACAGTTATATCGGACAGAGCGAAGTTGGACAAAATTAAATAAACTGTTTTGAGCAAAAACTTCTTATGATCATCTTGGAAATAAAATTACTATTGAACTGTAATTTTATTTACAAGATGATCAAAAGAGGTTTTTGCTCAAAAACAATTTATTTACTTTCGTCCAACTTAGCTTTGTCCGATACGGTATATATTCTAAATTGTATAATCAGTTTTAAACTAATACATCTAACCGCGTAAAAATTAATGCTCATGATCATCATCTAATTGCATTTGAGGTCAACTTTATTTTAGTCATAGAAATATGATTTATAAATCCCATCCCCTTCTCATCCCCACCTTCCTTATCCTGTTTGAACTTAAAAAATGTTTCAAAAACAACAATACAAAGACATAAATAATATGACGGTGCTTAGCAAAACAACTGTATCTACAAAGAAAATATCTTATAAATATCGATACCGTATTTAAAAAAAAAGATACTTATGATAAATCGTTTGAAAACGCCTATTAATCATTTTACTATTGTTATTTAACAGTTGAATAACATTAAAAACAAAAAAAAAACATTAAAGAAAAATTATTTTTTAGTTAAACTATAAACACAATAAAAGAAAACTTTATAGTTGAACTGTAAAACAGTTTTCTTTAATGTTTTTTAATGTTTTTGTTTTTATTGTTTATTTTATCCATAATAGATTTCATCTCATATCAGGTTATTATTTTTTTAAATTGCTTTTTAATTTTTTTAGATTTGTTTGATATTTTTAATTTATTTAGTATTTTTTTGGTTTTTATTTTGATTAATATTTTCTTATTTTTTAATCGCTATTACGTATTCTATTATTTATATATGCACGCATTTTTCAACGCACTAAACTCAAATAGTAGATATAAAAATTAAAGGCCAAAAAACTAAAAACTAATAAAAGTTTTTCTCATTTTTAAAGTAAGTGAACTAACAAGTAATAAACAATTTTTTTATTACTGTTGTAAAAACTAATTCGGTAATAAATGCTGTTGCCAAACTACAAAAAACAAACGTAAAAGTCGACGCCTAATTGACAAAAGTAATTTTAAAAAAAAGTGTGGGCAGTTATTTGATGTTAAACAATTAACTCGTTAATCATTATAAAAGTATTTACTTAAAAGTTAAGTTTAACAAATATTTGAAAAACCGTAAATAATTTATAGATTTTTTTCGTTTTCATAATGATTTTTTTTGGCAAATGTTAAAATTTTCTTAAAAATCTTAATTAATCAAATTACCTTTTCATACTTTTATTGTTAATAAAAAAAGAAATGAAACTTTTTTTAATGAAAATTAATTTTTTCAAAATGCTTGCAATTAATTTTTACCGTTTTCTCTAGTTTCAGTAGATCAGTTGTTATGACAACAATGACTCAACTTGCCATACAAATGCAAACATAGAAAATTATTAAAATACTTCAAAAGAAATAAAACAATAATATCGTTCGATCGCACCAATAATTTGAGTTCATTAATGCGCATGCTTACTTTAGATACTTTATGACACATGCGCTTTATATCTTATCAACATTAAAAAATGGACTCAAAGGTTGGTATTGGAGTTGGTGTTGGTTTAGGATGTGGTGTTATTATTGGTATAGTTATTTTTTTTTTAATACGCTATTTTAAGAATAAAAGTGGCATGGAAGGAACTTATAGACCAAATCAGGAGGAGCTTCATTCTAATCAAGTAATTGTAAACAATCTAGCTATACCAAACCCCGAGCGCCTAATATAGTCAAAACAATGCAAAACATAATCGGAAAAATTGGTGAGAAAAAACCTAGTAAAACTCAATCTTTAAAAGATAAAAATGCTCCAAATAACAAATTGCAGAATCAAACGATTGTCATTGCAGAATCAACGACTGGAAAAAATTTAGAATATATTTTAGAAGGATTTGGAAAAATTCGTAATTTTATCTTTAACTTGACAAATCAACCGAATCGAAAAGTTTGTTAAAAATATTCAGGAAGTGGCGTTACAGACGTTTGTGAAAAGCAATATCACAATAATGGCTTATTTATTTAAAGTTCATATATAATATAGTAACACAATAGATATCCCAAGCAAAAGAATTATTAATAAATTATACCAATGAGTTTAAGCAGAATAATCATTGGATTTATTTCTTTTAACACACAACGACGTTATTATTAAAAGAACTTGCGCAAAGAAAATCTGTTTGTTTTTAAAATGAAAATTGTTTGTTTTTATAACAACTACAATTCATTTTTCTATTGCTTAAAACGTATAATAGCTGATTTTTAAAACAGCATTTTTTTTTATACACATTTATATTATGGAGTTATAAAACAAATTTATTTTTATCTCCGCGTTAACTAGTCTTTATTCTCATTTTACTAAACAAATTCCTAGCGATTAAAAATTATATTTTTTTATGTTATGTTTGTATATATTAATAGGTTAAAAAATACTTTAAAAAGTTTATGTTTTGAAATTATTTATATTAGAGTATAAAATTTATATATTTTTTAAATTTTATATTATTTTATAGGAATAAATTATCGGTGTTGTATAGTAAACAATATCAATATATTTATAAATTTTTTGTCAGGGGTGAAAACAACAAAAATATATAACCTAATACAGTTGCAAGCTATAGCAAAAAAAATTAATAAAATGTTGTATGTGTTATACCATATAAGTACATAAAATGAGTGTATGTACCATACTTTTTTATAATACATATTAAGGGCTAAAAGAAGGGGTGTTTCTTTTACGCTTCAAAATTTCTTATCAAGTTACGTTGATAATTGAAGTACAATAAAATGGGGGCGGGGGGAGTTAATAAACAGTTTGTACCAAGCGGTAGTTGGCCAAGGAGGGCTAAATGCTAAAGTATGATAAAAATAATTTTTCCAAATCTTAAAGTTTTAAAAGTACTTGAAAATTGTTGCTGCTCTGGAATGAGCTCTTGATCAACTTGAACTAACTGCAGACACTGTTGAATCAAGCGAAATTGTTAGGAAAATATTTTAAATTTTATAAATGTGCAGTTTTCTTTACCTTTAAGTAATAAATAATGCAAAATATTGATAATTTTGGCTGCAGTCAATCATTTCCCCAGTCGGAGTCAATCACCATGAAAAAAGAAGGCATCCTCATTCAACAACTAATTGATAAACTAGGTTGCGTTCGCTCGTCGTGGAATGATATTTTAGCTGAAGCAAAGCTAGTAGCTAGAAATCTAAAAAAATAAAACGGCTTTGAAACGAAAATTCTAGTAAAAACGCACAGGAATAGTAAAAGTGTTTCATGAATAACTATTAAACACAGTCCAATAACATAGCAACACAGAAAAGAAATTCGAAGTAGACATTTTCAACGTGACACTTGACAACCTAATTCTACAAAATCAGTCAAGATTCACAGTCATAAAAAAGTTTCTTCTCAATTTTCATTTAACTGGTTTCTGCTTAATAAACCTATAGATGATTCTATGTTGAATGAAATTATTAGTGTGAATATCCCTAGGTTGAATAATACTATTAGTTTGAATTTCTAAGTTGAGTAATATTAAGTGTGAATCCCTAAGTTGAATAATCTTATTAGTGTGAATCCCTAAGTTAAATAATATTATTAGTGTGAATCTCTAAGTTTAACAAAATTGTATTGAATAATATCGGATCACTAAGTTGAAATTATTAGTTGTACTTATTTATTTAGGGTGAGGCTCTAAGCAACAATGTGTTTATAAAGCTTATTTTTAAAAACGTTTGAGCCTAAATATACTTAAAAAAATAAAAAAAATGTTAAAAGATCAACTAAAATGGTAAATTTTATTGCGATATCTATTACATTCATATTTGTTGTCATGTTACATGCATTTTACATATAACTAAAAATTAAAATAAGGTTTAGTAAATTATGCAAGCATTTAATGAGTGAATAAATAAATAAATGCGATATAACTTTATATTTAAAATAATGCATGCGATATAACTTTATATTTAAAAGTATTTTAAATATGGGTTGTCCTTACAAGAAAGATACGAATATAGAAGAAAAGAGAAATATAAAAATTAATCCCAAAAGACTAATCTTTATTTTTTAGTATCCTATTAGCCAGTTGTCCACGAATCAACTTCTCAGCATTGGAAATGTGAGCAGATATATAAAGTTTATTAAATAACCCAGGCATTTCAAGTTTAAATCTATTAAGCCTGTTGTAGCTTGTTATCAAAGATTTCCAGGCAAAAATTTTGTCTGCAAAATTCATGTATTTGCAATATTATCTGCAATATTATCTGCAAGAGTAGATCATGTAAAAATCTTAACTATAGAAGACTTATTTAACTTTTTGCGAATATTTTTATAGTTACAAAGTTATTTAAAAAAAAATATTTTTATTTTTTTGATATATTGTTAAATTTTAGTCCGAGTAATAATTTTTCTTTTTTTCTTGAAAAACGCGCATAAAACTATCAGCGAGCTTATAAAGTTAAAAGTATCGTTGTATTTTTTTCGTAAAAGTATCTTTGTATTTTATAAATAAATAAAAAATTGCGTAGTATGAAAACTTAAGACTTATCTCTATTAAGAGGTCGTTACCTACGTTCCCTGAAGCAAACTTTATGTCCCTGAAATAAACAAAATAGTATATTTTTGACACCAACTTCAAACATTACATCAAATTTAAAGGTCGGTACTTTTTTTAAATTTTATTGCATTTATTTTGACTAGTAATTATGATTACAGCGGATGAAACCATCCAAATTTTATACAACTAGTGAGTATTTTAAAAAAAAAAACTTTATTTACATTGTTAGTTTGCACGTTTTTCCAAAATATTTAGTTACGCAACAATAAATTGACAAACGTGCAAATGTTTGACCAATAAAAAATCAATGATTAACATTCAAAATAAACGTACTATCGGTGCTGATTGAACTGCAAACTGGTATCCGGTAGAATACAAACTTTTTTGCGAACCCAAACATTTTATTTAAAAGACCACAAATATTTTATTAATTTGATAAATACGAGTAAAATCTGAAAAACGAGGCTGGATTAAAGTCACACAACTCCTTTAAGACAAAACATAAAGGAAAAATGTTTTAGAAACTATTTTTATTCTAAACTTTAAATATTTTATGTTTTTATTTATTTTTTTTAATTAATGAAGCAACAAATTCAAAACTGTACTAATAGTAATTGGATGGTGGCGAACTGGCCCAGGGTGCACCCCAGCGCCCTGGAGCAGTCCGCTACTGGACTAATCGCATCCTGGGCCCCCATCTTATAAAAAACTGGGCCTTTTGGTCAACAGATACAATGACATAAAAATAACAGTCTGCTAATTATGTTTATTCTCCAATTTCACGTAATAAAATAAACAAAATAGTAATAACTCAAAATATTTTATTTTAAAGTTAACAATTTTTTAATATAATCGCTACCGGTGCAGATTGTTATCAGTAAATTATTTCAGTAATATTTTTTATTTCAGCGCAATGATTTACAATGAAATACATTTTGTATAATTAGTTATATTAATTGTGTGCGACTCCGAAACTATATTTTGCAACAGCGCTTTTAATATATTTTAATTGTATTTTTTGTTGTTGTTGTTGGAATGTACTGTTACGCAATTGTAATACGTCACGCCTTGTAAATATAAAAAGTAAATAAATTGTAAAACTTATGATTTGTTTACTGCGTTTACGTTTTTTAATAAATTGCAAGAGTAAGTAATTAATAAGAGTTATCAAAACCGTTAGAAAAATAAACTTCTTTTTCAAAACCTTTATATTTCAAGAAAATATTTGGATTTTTAAATTTGTAAAGTTTAATAAAATTAGAAGTATTTTAATGTACAAAATTTGATAGAAAAATCATAATTTTCTGTTATTATTTGATATTTTTATGCGATTATTTTTTTTTTCAAGCATTCATTCAATACGCTTTTTGACATTTGTTTACATTTTAAAAAACGCGCAAGTGCCTCCCTTTCAAATTAAACCAATCAGATTGCGCATATTCTGCCAATCATATTGCGCATATTACTGCCTATTCTGAGCGAGCCCCTAGAAGGTTTCAAAATATGCAGACGGCACAGTGACTCAGGACAATCACAAAACGGCAAAAATTAAATAAAAATTGACATAAATCGTAAATAAATAATGTTATATATTAAAATAATAATTTTAAGTCAAAGATTTCAAATTTGTTAATAATTTTTTTTAACGCGCAGCTTTGACGCGTAAAATGCGCGCTTACGCGTGTTAAAGATGACTATACGCGTACAAAAAATTTTTTTTTTTAGTTTTTAGAATCTTCAAGACAAACACATAATTTTGATATATTACTCTACTTGATATTTTTATTTAAATGGTTTTTAAAGGATGTTGATACATAGAGAAAAAATACTGTATTTTTTTACATTAAATTTATTATTTACATTACAATTAATTTAAAAAACTTCATCTGGTAACGGTTTTCCTCGATAGCTCTTATGTTTTCTAAAAGATATGCTTGATATTTTTGGATCTGATCTTACTAGAAGGTAGTGCATCTGATTCATTATTGTGTTTAACCTTGATATTTTTGCCGTGTGCTTAAGTCTAGAATTTCTTATCTGTTTATTTAAACTCTCTAGTGCATCTTCCGAATATACCCCGATTGGCAAAGTTAATTTATTTGATATAGAAGAATTATGCAGTAGCAGTTTATGCACAGTAGGAGGCATAACATACCAGTTAACTGGTATGTTTATACAACTAGTTGTATAAATTCACTATACGTTTAGCTGTTTCAGTGCAGTATAAATCTAATTCATTGATATTAATAGGATATCCACAAGATATGGTTATGAGAATATTATGCAACCTTTTAATTATATCACAATCAACTTTAGTAATTTCAGAAAAAACTTCACCATTTTTAAATGCTCTTCTGGCAGTGTTGCCGTCATTCGTGTTTCCAGACCCAGTTTTAGGCATATCAACGTATAGGCTTAACCGTTCTCTGAAGAGTACCTGAATCTCTTTTTTTTTAAGTCTACAGATAGCTTTTCCTTAATTGTTTTTGGCTTATACTTTTTAATTTCAATTTTATAACTCAAATGAAGAATGAACTCCAACCATTTTATCCAGCGATGCAAAGCTGAAATTCCAAGCCCCAAGGCCGAGTCATTCTCAGTTTTTGCTTTTAATAAATCAATATTGTTCATTTCCTTGGCTTTAGCATTGCACACATTGCAGGATTGAGTGGATTTTGTCTCTGTAAGTGCGCTAACTACTTTATTATCAAAAATTGTAAGATCAATCCAATAGCTGATATTAAATGTCAAAATTCTTCCTGCAATATTAAAAACTTCTTTAAGGTATTTATTTGATTTTTTAGATCTGATTCTTCTCTGGATAAAATTGGACTCTCTTTTTTATATTGTAGATGAAGAGGTCTACAAAAGTGACAGCTTGAAGGATTTTCATTTTTCCAAATTTCGCCATCTTCTACTTTGAGCAATAAAGGCACAAAAGCTGTACTGAAAAGATTTTCTTCATGCTTAAGTTCTATACTTGCGTTGCTTGTATCGTATATCTGTTTATAAATACTTTGGCTTAATGCTCCATCAAAACCAATTTTTCCATATAAAACTCCAAATATTTCATCACTTTGACCAAAATTAGGCATATCAATCATTTCTGTTATTGTACTCACAGTGTGATCTAACATGTTTTAAAGAGTACACTTTGTAGA